AAAAGCGGGAACCAGCTCAGCAAGCGTGACATCGAGGACACCATCCGCACCTACGCCAGCTCGGACCGCCAGGACGATCTCCGATTCTCCACCGACCTCAACAACGACGAACGCAAGCAGATCCACCAGATATCTCAGAAATACGGCCTGCGGAGCAAGTCGTACGGACAGGGGCGGCTGCGCTTCCTCATTGTCAGTCGCAAAGTCCACAAAGACCAGCTGATTGGTCAGCTTTTACAGGAGGGACAGGTGGGACGATACGAGCTTGTGAAGCCTCAGGCTATTCACTGATGAGCATGCAGGGGCAAAATGAGTGAAATAAGAATATAAAAAAAAAAAACATTGATCGTTTGTTCAGACTTCAGTACAAATGACACTCAAGTGTATGTTGTGTGTTTACACTTGTATGTGACAAAGAAACACACACATTAACAAAAGATAATCCTTCAGGGATCACCTGTGGTGTCTGCATTCCTTTGCCATGAAATTTAGCTTTAACAGGGGCGGTAGAATGAGTGATTTGTCTTTTCTTTTCTTTTTTTTGTCTCCTGCCATTCCACGTCTTTTATCTGTTTGACTTTCGCACAAGCTTAAATACTTTTGAATTATCATGTCCTGATGATTTTTCCACTTAAGGATTCAAAATTGTGTTACCAAGAGACACCATTTATCTTTTTGTTTGCTATTTTTGAAACTTTGGCGAAAATGCAGCTTTTCGCTTTTCGTGATTGAACATTGTTGACCGTGGACTCATGAGGGACATCACAGCGTAGCGAGTTGCTCACATTAGTCTAAATGTAGTGATACGTCTCCCATCTTTCTACCAGCAATGCTGTCTGCTTTCTAAACGCGGAGCTCCTTCTACAAAAACAAACCGCATCCATAATCATAAAATCTTTACATAAAAACTGTAAGCTGTGATCTTTGTTAAATGTCGGATGTGTTGGTTCATGTCAGTACAGTTAACTTGTCTGCTTGTTTTCAAGGCTGTAATGACTGAATAAATTTGAACTGATAACACACAGGTATTTTGCATTGAGAGTTAAAAAGCAACAAAGACTGGTGTATATTTATTTTATTTACAAGGAAATGTACAGTTTGTTACATGGATTACCAGTGCAACGTTGTATAATCTGAAAACACATTCTCCTGTTTAACACTTTCATCAGCCTCTTATATCAGTTGATTTGTAAGATTGTAAAATAGCATAGAAATGTTCTGAAACTGCCTTTAAATGTAAGCATTATGAAAAGCTTTGCTTGAAACAAAGTGCCCAAAAAGGGAACTAAATATCTTGTTTCTGTGTTGAAGAGGGACGTATATATTCACCAATTTCTAGAAGGTTTTTTAAACCCAAAAGGCGTGGGCACAAGAACAGCTGAGAGAAATCCCCCCACAAAGGCATTTGTTGAGCTGACAACTTGTGAGGGATGGATCTCCATGCCAGGTTAATTCTCTATCCCTCTAAAAGGCATTCAAAGGACAGACAGACAGACACAAATGCGTAATGTTGGTACGTACACAGCAGACCACTCAGCAAGCACATCGAATTAACTGTCACCGTATCATCCAACCAATTTACTTAATGTAAAAATAAACAGGTAAAAAAATGACTGACACGGGCTATTGCCTTTTCGTTTTGTTTTTTCTTGGTGCATGTAGCAAGTAACCTAAATATAACAAGGTACATTTACTTTTGACAAACATACGCTATAGTCCAATAATAGCAATTTGGCACGAATGAATGCCACAACACAACGGCATACAAACTTAGCAACAGCTACGGGACAAATATATACCGAGAAGGATTTTAAAAAGTGTCACTTTATTTCTGAGATCAGCCGTCTTCTTGATGGGGGGATTCTGTCCCGGATGCCGTTTGTACTCCCAACGACAACAGGGGTCAACAGTCACGCCAGCTCTGTTCAACAATAGCAGAAACCCTCTTCTCGTACTCCCGCTTGTTTTCCTGGTACAGCTGAGCTGCCTGGCTGTTGGCTGGACTATTTGGGTTTGGCTCGTCCAGCAAAGACTTGAAATGTACAACAAAAGAATGTTTTAAATGAAGCATTATGACATGACGTGGATTACAAGTACTGGCTATTACTTCGTCAACAAATAGGGGCTCAGTTGCATTGGCGCACTGCGTTTCTTTGCATGAAGCAATGTTAGATCACCTGTATTGAAGTTAGGATCGAAGAGACATCATATGTCGGACTCCAACGATTCTGAAGAATATCTAAGCATATGCTTCCATCTGCATACACTGCAAAGGAACACACACACACACAGACACACACATTAGGAAGCTTTTCTGGCATCAATATGGAGACACGTGACATAATTTCATTTCTGCAGACAAAAACTGTCAGTGTTGTATTTGGAACATACCATTTGGATGAAACATTTTTGAGGCAAATCGCACTGTTGGAGGTTTATTTGGATATTCCTCTGTGAATTCAATGGTAAGTTTGAAGGTTCCTGAAAGTAAAAATAAATTGAGTTGTATGAATTGAGATACGTTCACTAAAATGAGTTACAAGTAGTAACAGTGTTACAGTGCTTTCTGTGACGCAACAGGGTGGAAAATACAGATAAAGAACTGTAAGAGAACTCACCATCCTCAAAAGGTGTTCCCTCAGGACTAAAAGAGAAGTGAACAAAAACAGGCCGTCGAGCATCACTTAAATACAAATATCAAAATCCAACTTCAAATACTTACAAAACATGCTGACAAACTAAAATATTATCAAAAATCTTATATTCAAAAACAAGCAACAACTTTTTCTACAAAAAATGTGTTTAATAAGTTTGAATAAACAGACTTGACTCACCCAAAAATGACAGCATTCCATACCATGATATTGTTTTCTGATGGCGCCCCACTAACTCCAGCTGGAGGATCCTCCTGCAGTCTAACAGACACAACGGTGGCACAAAATAACAGGGCACGTTAGGGGGTCGAATCAGCAGACGGCAAGGCTCCATTCAATATGAAAACGGGATGTTTTATTGTTGTGTGCTGAAGGAGGGCTACGAGTTTGTAAAAGTCCCAATAGCAAAAACGCACCTTGATTTACAGGTACTGTTACATCAACGCAGTAAACAGTACTATGATTCTAATGACTGTTCTGCAATGTCTGTTTTGGAAATACAACTCAACAAATCATACTGTTGTGTTTCTAGACAGTGGACAAACCAGGACTAACCCGTGACCTCTGCCTGTTACCATCAGTTCTATTTAGTAGGAAAACACTGCAGATAAGAACTACAGTGAAGTTGCAGACGGTGCTTTAATATCTGCCGATTTTTTTGTGACTGCCTGGCAGATGGTCGCTTATCCTCAGGCTTAGATCGTGATCTATCAAGGCCCAGGAATCGGGAGATCCCTGGATCACTGTGTACCCAAGACAGTGTTTGTCTACACCAACCTCTCATCGGTTTGTGAAGGGCCATCTGTCCAATGATTTGAATGGCATTGCCAATAACCAGTTACAGATACAAACCAGTTGGCCTACAGAGATCACGTATGAACACAATCATTATTAGCTTCCGGCTAAGGCGCTGATAACGTGTCACATTGTATAAAACATCGACACATGGCATCTGCACGTATGAGAGCGAGCAGTGACCATGAATTGCACAACACCATCGTTGCTGCTCACCGGTAACGCTGTTATCGATAGCTGCTAATCATTTAGCAGTCATTAAAAGGTTAACACTACCGCACCCTAGCATTTGTACAGTGACTAAAAACTCGATTGTCTATTTATATGTCTTTTCGTATCATCAAAGTTCTTAACTTAGTTAAGAATGCCGCTATGGACTGACGCTAACAAGCTAGTCTTATGCTGCTAACGTTAGCTTACGCTGTAGCTACTTTGCTGATGTTTTCCCTTCGCTTACCGTTTAAAATCTCTCATTAAACGTCGTCTCGCTGGAGTTGACATCCCGTTGACACAGAAACCTAAATCCTTGGCATAAACGTAAATGTGTTATGCGTAAGAAAATGTGTTTGTTTCCGTATTATTTTAACTCCTAACTGACTAGCCAACCATTGATAGTTTGTCAAATATTTAGCTGCCTGTGCTCGTCTAAGGGCGCTACCACTTAAACTAGATAGAGGAGGATATTTCCATTAACTGTCTGTAAATTGGTAAGCTGTAATAGCCACATGAACACAAACTAACCGTATCATTGAAAGTAGTACTATCAGTTATGATCATATGTATTTCTGTAATCCACTTTCAGTTCGCAGTATACATAGCTAAAGTATTTTTATACATTGGAGGGACCCCGTCTCTACACTTGTTCAAGTCCACAGAAAATTACGTCATATGTTTATCACTGTTTGGATCGCTGTATTAATTCGTGTGATTGCAAGGTGTTATCCTTCCTTCGTTTCTTTTCAAATGTGTCAATTAATTAAATATATATTAAATTATTCACTTTGGGTATAACCAATAACTATTACCAACGCAAGGTGTGTATGACATCCTGTATTTAATCAACATTAACAGTTAGAGACCACTAGATGGTATCTAGCCCACAATCGTTCTAAATTACAAGACAAAACAATCTAGAAAAACATGTTAAAAACACGATTGTATTCAATGTAACATGAACAAAAAACGTCGCTTTCCTGATAAATGTACCTTATCTTCCATATACACTGTGTTTGCATGGCAGTTATATTACTTACCCGAACATAGACTCGTACTTGACACCCTTCCCATATGGTCTAGCGGTTAGGATTCCTGGTTTTCACCCAGGCGGCCCGGGTTCGACTCCCGGTATGGGAACGTACTTTTATCTAGACATAAAAAATGATTAATCTCACTTTGTTTTCTTTCGACACCAAATGTACAACATCACATAATCATTGAAACATTTTGAGTCTTACAGTCTATTTCATACATCTATCACAATTCACGCTCGTCGTTTCAAGCGACTCTTTAGACCCCGCCCGTTAAGGAGTTATCCTCGATTGCTCTCATCTCACAAGGGCTTGGACCTTCCCGGAAGATGACCGTTTCCACGTTCATCTCCTAGTGCGAGCATTTACCGTAGTCTGGAAAAGAGGACAACACACGCGTCTTAAACAAGGCAAGCTTGCAAGCTACAACCGCTTCTTTTTTTTTCGTCCGCAACTTAATTTGACTAAATCGCGTTGAGCTGTTGTCAAAATTGCCCTTAAAGTGACACCTGTGAACGCGTAGCGCTTCATTAGCATTGACGTTGACCGAGCCGTCGCTTACATACCACTTCGTTTAATGGTCAACACAATTCTAAGTAAACAACTACTACTAAGTCACTATTAAGGACACAATATCTATTGATCATAATTTACATTTTAAGCAACAGGACATGAGGCGACGGCTTTTTTTCATTTTTTAAAAACGTCTTTGAATCCTCCCTCGTCCCCTCGATTCAATATTGCTCAACTTGAAACTCCTGATCTCTTTTTTAAGACTACCAGAGTCAGCCAAACTCTAGTACCGGGGGTGGAGGAGGGGGATCATTTCCCAGGAAAATGTGACTGTTAGGAATTCCCCACGCATCAGCCCCTGTCGAGGAGAAAAACAGCAGCCTTGTGTCAGAGAGCACACGAACGCATCGGGATGGCGAAGCCGACGGGTGACGGGCGTGCGGTGATGGGGCGCTGCTGACGGCCCGACTCCATTTGCGACGAGAGGGTCTGTGGACAGAGGACAGAGGACAGAGAGGACGGCCACCGACTGTCACCATGTTCCCGGGACGCACACTATGCTGATGACGTCTTCTACCAGGGTACGTCCTCAATTAAGGATGTTTCATTCTCATCGCTCACTTAACCAACAATCCAGGCCTGGCTGCCGCCATGTGTACTGGGCCCTTTGCGGTTCTCTTGATACCTACACGTTTCCTGGTGTTTGCAGAATTTTGTAGCAGTTTGGGTATTTCATTGCACGTGAAAAGCTACAGAAGCACGACTGAACTCATATGATGAACAGTATACGTTCCTCTGGGATACAAGGCCAATCAGCCCACTACATGTATGTGTCTCCCCTTTGTGTTGGCCATCATGTGACAAGCACAGATGTGTGGTTGCGTGTAAATGTGCGCGTGTGTGTGTGTGTGTGTGTGTGTGTGTGTGTGTGTGTGTGCTGAAAGCGATTAGTGCTTGAGAGATGCTTCCTCGACAAGTCATAACAAACCATTGGACGCTTACGGCAGACAGCGAAAGGAATGTCAGTACGGTTTGATGTGCGCCTCAGTGTTCAAAGCCATTATACTAATAGTTCAAATGAACACGTAGTCACATATGTTGTAAGTCTTGACCGATTTCATGGAAAGCATTGATTGTTGTTCATCTACAGTAATTATACCCTCTTAAACACGGTTAGATGTTTGGCCTCTTATTAGAGTTAATTAAGTCTTTTTTTTATTAGAGTTAATAGAGCTGGAGTGTTTAATCAAATAAACCATTGGTGGATTGATAGCATGTAGACTAATTATTTAGTTTGTCTGTTTTCTAACTGAAAATGCAAAGATTTCACTTGTTCCAGATTCTAAGATGTTTTTTTTTCCCCAATCATATTAAACTGCCATTTATTATCCACTTTCTTGCTATGTCCTGATATTTTCCTATAATCCAACGTGTGTGTCACTCTTTAAATTTAAGAGGCCTCAGACTAAATATATTCGCTAAACAAAAAGGGGATTGCTGTGATAGTGAATCTAAAATACTCATCGCTTTTCCTCAGAGGACAAACACAAAGGCCAATTTCTCCTAATTTCTGCAAATATAGGCCTGCAATTCCCGGCAAAAGGGTTTTTGTCCGTAGTGTAGTCGATCAACTATTTTGTGTCTAAATGTTTGCCAGATGTTTACATTTTTCAGTTAAGATGCCCGTATCATGGGACGCTCAAACGCCAGCCAATTGGTCGGCTGCTGTTGCTCGCTCTCTCTCTCGAGAGGAGTGACGCAGAGGGAGGGGAAGAGTTACGAGCTCTTAGCCTGTCTGTCCCGCTGGAGACGGGACCAGCTGGACCCGCCAACCCTTTCACCCCCCTCTCCCCTTATCATCTTTCTATGGTGGGAACACGGGCTTTTATGGATAACTGGAAACTTCAATGCACCGAAATCAATTATCCAGAGCAAGACCTTCCAAAAATACTCCAGTGGGGAGTCGTCTTTGTTTGTCTCGAGCATGTAGTCTTGTTTTAGAAACATTCTGCCATGCTCCTACACACACATTTAGCCCTTTCTCCCCCCTTGTGCTTTCTTGCTTTGGCATGCTCAAATTCTGCACAGACGGCGAGAGATATGGCGTGTGTGTTTGTGCACAGAGCAGACTGAAGACTGCGTGGTCGAGGTTAAAGCACTTCCCGGTAGCCTTCCCATCCCGTGACCGTGATGTCACCGTCAGTAATCTGACCAAAGGGCAACAACGGAGAGCCTTCCCCGTGCAGTCCCTCCAGTTACGAGGAGCTCCTCAGACATTAGACACTTCATATTGCCCGAGGCGTACCCGCCTGCCTTAATGGGCTGCTGGATATCGATTCGGCTTCACAAAAAGAAGATCTGAGCTTTTAGCCTATTAAGAAGGCAGCACTGCAGTTTCACAAAAGGCTTTTAGGAGCGGCCTTGCAGGGGGCCGGCAATCCTTTTGCGAGTCGGCATACATGGTTATCTTTAAAACTCCGGTTCACCCCCCCTGTAACCGTGATTAAAGATTTCTGAGTATTTAGGAACTATTGTGATATTGTTTAACCCATAGATTTAACGTTTAACGAGTGTCCACACATGCAGCTACAAACAAATTACACTTGATGCTAACTCCTGCTACTTTAAACAAGTGAAAAGAATTTTCTGAAGCCGGCATCAGTATCCAGTGACATTCTCAAGTATGTCTTGGTGTGATTTGTTTGGCCAGGAATAACCACAAGATGGCAATGTTCTTATTCTAAACAAACAATCATACGAGATGGCTGAGACCTCAAATGACTTGCAGAAATGCAGGAAACGACCTGTGAAAAGAGAAATAAAACTGTTCAACTTCCCCTTTATTGAGTGCAGCAAAACATACCTCATGTTGGTCTGGGTTCTGTGGAAGGCTCGGAGGGGAACTGCCATTCGCAAAGTTCCCTAATTGAGCGCCGCTGTTTCACGACCTCAGACTTTTGACACCTGACTATCACCTTGTCGGGCGTTTATTGCAGCAGAGAGATCGCTGCCATTGGACCTGACGTCAGAGGGGAAAGGTGAGTGGAGGGAAATTCCACCTGTAACCTCACTCTGCTCTCGCGCTTCCTGTCTGGAGCATGTGACTTGGATGAGTCACCACGCCTGAGTTTCTCCACGAATCTGGGCAGTGGCATGATGTAATGCGTAGTTACAGTCCAGCTATTTTTAGCATGCCAGGGAGGGCCAAGCAACTTGTCTTTTCACGTATGTTGTTTTGTTAATGCAGTACATGAAAGTTTACTTTATTCTTTCTATGCCAATCAGACTAACAGATACGAGCTGCACAAAACACTGGCTTCAGTGATGTATTTGATGAGTATTTATTCATTCAGTTGTCAAAAAAATACAAATTGATGGCAATAATAACTACTTTGTGGTGATGATCAGGTGAGAATAGACTGTATTTGATTAAAAGCGTTAGCAATTCTACATATAGGAACAACTTTGGGTGAACGTGCCTGTTACCTTTTGTTGCATAGGTTTAGCTACTGTATACTTTGTCTGCAGGAATAGTTCCTGTAGGACGAATCCAAGTATAACGTGTCCACTCCGGCTGCCTGTTGACATTATGAGATTAGTTAACCACATTACTTAGATATTTTTACGGCGAACGCTGAGGCCCATGTGAGCACACAGTGCAGCTGAATCACTGATGAATGTGTAATTACATTAAGGAGGGATGCCTCTGGCTGCAGTGTTCTACCTCTCTCTAGTCTGACCTCACAAAAGTAGCCCCGGACGAATATAGAAAGCCAGCAACTTTGGCGTGCAATGATATTTCACCCTGTCATTTTTCATGTCTCCTGGAGCTGACGAGGTAGCGGTGAGTGGCTCACGAAGGCCTTTCCGTGAATCAGCTCAGCCAGCGGTTGCTCGGATTCAAAGAGTGAGCTTTGCTCGTAGAAGCCACAAGGATCTTTCCTCATTCAACTTTCAACAAACTCTTTTGAAAAAAAATGGGGACTAACGCAAGCGAGGACAGGGTTGACAGAATTTGCAGCGAGCTCAGGCAGCTTGTCTTATCTACTGAGAGGCGTGTCTGTCTTCACCAACAGTAATTTCTTTCCCCCTTTCGTTTTGGGTTAATTTCAAAGTGACAAGGAGTCCTGGTTAAATTATTTAACTGCAGGCGGCCAATGGGTATTGTGATCTGGGCCCTGAGTGACGGAGCAGTATGCTCTTTGGACCTCGTGGCATTTTATTAATAATGAGCTTGAGATAAACTAGAGCTCTCGGGTGAAAAGCTGCTGGCTGTCGGCGCACACTGGAGCAGTCATGCTCCCAGCCCTGAATTAGTTGGTGTGACACAGATGGACTTTTCCAAACCTCAGCAATTGTTTATGATCAGAAGTCTGCATGAGAAGCAGCAGCTATGTGCTTCAGTGACGTTGCGTAACAGCGGATCCTTTATGCCAGTATCTGACTTGCAGGTGTCTGTTACAGCCCACAGAGGTATGATGTGGACAACTTGGATTGTTGGCCTGCTCTCTGTATTTAATCATTAATGAGCTGCAGTCTGTGTGCGTCTCTCCATTTGGCACAAGTAGACAAGTAAGGCCGGACGCTGTATGTCTCATCAGCACTGTTTGCAGACACTGCGGGCGGCACCAACGAAGATACTGACATGGACATTTGATTTGCTATCTTTCTTTCTTTCCTTCTTTCTTGAATCAATGGGACTGGCTCTCATTCTGAAGGAACATCCTATTAAACTGGAGGGAAACATTCACTCAGCTTTAAAAAGCCTCTGGTTGAATCCTTTTGAGAAATCAGTTTGAGGAAATGGTATCAAACTCGGAGACAGTTGGCTGTTGCACATTGAGTGCGTCGGCCTTATTGCTGTACACCTCCACAGCTCTTTGTCAGCTCCGTATGTACCACAGTCCCACTCAGTCAGCACAATGAACCCTGTTGCAGTCGGGATGGTGCCTGTCCAAGAACCATGACGTTTTCAAAGCACTATGAGCTGTCAGCTAGTTCAGCAAACTTGCTGCAACAGGAAAGTTTAAACCACAACCAGCCGGCATGCTCTTAAATCATACTAACCGGGATATTTGAACAGTCCTTGACTTCCATCCATCTTTCCCTGTAATCCAAATATGACGGATATTTAGAGTGTTTTTGTCCCACAGCAATACTTTGTTCATCTAATTTCACAGCCTCACTGCCCTCTCATTCTCCTCTCATTCCTCCGCCTCGCTGCTCGCTATTTGCGCCACTACGGCAGCCATCAGATTCCGTTTAAATCCATTTATTTTGTGCTGCCGGAAAAAAATAGAAGATTGGCTTCATAATGCTTTGCAATCGCTACAATATACACGGTCGTCCGTCCCAGGACCAACACATGGGTACAGGAAGTCTACACTCTAGGCCTACAGCATCGTGTCAACGGGCTGGTTCAAGGCACACCTGAGCCAGCCCTAACTGTAGATGACTTTGCTTACATGTGGTGAGTGTGTCTGTCCCCAGGCTGAAAAAGTAAGCTGCTGATGTGGTACTATCAGCTGCTGAAGACATGATGGTGCTTTGTAGGGGAGGAGAAGGATTTTTAATTAAGTGT